CGCGTGGTGCTGGCCGCGTCGGCGCTGCGCCTGTGCCGCGAGCACCTGGGCCCCAGGCCGGGCTGCGCGGGGCTGTGCGCGCAGCTGCACCTGTGCAAGTTCATGCTCTACGGCGCCTGCAAGTTCCTGCGGGCCGGGTGAGGAGGCGGCGAGCGTGGGGTGCGGTGGGGCAGGGCGCCGCCTTCATTTCCAGCCCCTCTGTAAGTTGAGGAGTCCAGGGGGAGGCCCTGCAGGGTACACCTTCATTCCTGTCACTAAACGTTTTTTGAGCCCGTCCGCAGTATCCGCTCGGAGGGAGTTGGGGGTCAGGTGGGGGCGTTTAGGTCGCTCTCCTAAAGCCCAGGGGCTTAGATATAGTGGGTACCTCGAGGGCCACCCAAGCACTGGCAGGGTGGGCGCGGGAGGGAAGCTGCGATGGCCCAGGGGACCCAGGGCAGCTCCAGGGCCCAGGTTTGCACTCAGCGTTGAGGACCAGACTGCGAGGACAGAGCTCTCTCTCTGCCTGGAAAGGACATAGAAATCAGGAAATCTGGCTCCCCCGCCCAGGTAGCCTCGTTCCTCCGGCTGCTTTCACCCCGTCCGCAGCGCACTTCCTGGTGTGCTCCATTAGTGTTTCAAGAATGAAAGAAGTTTTTTTTTTTTTTTTCTTCCATGCTGTTCCTCTTACTCCGTCACACCTCACTGTTTCTTACGTCTCAAAGTACTCAGCCTGCCTTTGACGCCAAATGTGGGAAACTTCCGCGGCACATCACGCCTGGCCGCCTCTAGTCTACGCGGTGGGCTTTTCAGCATCTTGGTGCAGGGGCAGGCTCAGGCTCAGGCTCAGGCTCGCTGTTCTGGTATAGTCTCTGTTCTTTGTGTCTGTATCCTGATTTTTTTTTTTTTTTAAGGACACCTGTCACGTTGGGTTAGGGCTGACCCTAATGACCTCCTTCTAACTTAATTTTCTCTTTCCAACCCTACCTCCAAATGTAGCCTCATCCTGAGGTTCAGGGAGGGAGTTAAGACTCCGACGTAGGAGAATAGGCTCAGTAGGTGGCTGAGGCTTTTCCTAAAGAATTTGGACCTCACCTTGAAGGTGATGGGGCCCATCCAGTGGCAGCAGACACAACCATCAAATGTGTGTTTTAGGAAGTGGTCTTAGCTAGTGCTGTGGATGCTGATTTAGAGGATGTCATGGGGACCACTTTGAAGCTAGTCCAGTTAGCTAGAATTTTATATCCTTTTTTCCCCTTTATTCTTCCTTTCTTTCCTTCTCATCCTGTCTCCTCCATCTCTCCTTCCCTTCCCCAACGTTTTTCTTTCTTTTTTTTTTTTTTTACAAGGAACCTGGCTGTCTTCAGCTGGTGCAATCTTTTTTATTTTTTTAAGTCTTTTTGAGACCAGGTCTCGTTGTGCAGTTCTGGCTCACTTTGTAGCTCAGGCTGGTCCCGATCTTGCAGTGATCCTCCTTCCTCAGCCTCCCTAGTGCTGGGATTACAGCTGTGCACTACCATGCCTGGCGTCTTTTGTCTTAACACAGCAGGCACCAACCACTTCTTACTCTAGTTGGGTCTACTAGCCTGGGTAGGTGCCTTGATCCTTGCAGTCATTCAGAGGTCCAGACTGATTGACCTAGGCTCCACCCTCCTCAGCTGTGGCTCTGAAGGGCCATGTAGGTATGGAGTCCTTTAGACAGCAGAGAGAATGAGAGGAGTGAAAGGCGTTTATGGGTAAGATCCAGAAGTGGTAAATGTCCACTTACATCCATTGACCAGAGGCTGGCTCATAACCCAACCCAGGTGCAGGAGGGCTGGGAAGTGTAGTCTCTAGGAACCAGCTGGCCACATAGCCGGTTAGACGGACTTTGCCAAGGGATGAGTGAGAAATTCTGCCAAGTTGAGTTGGAGATGGTGTGGAGAGGCTTTGGGAGCTAAGGCTGTCAGGGCTCTGCTCCTGCTGTGTGTTTAGAGAGCTGGAGAGTGGTTTAGTTTTTAGGTTTGAAGCTTGGGGCTGAGGCTGGGCACCTTACTTGCCCCTTAGGGAGATGGTGATGGTGTAGGCAGACTGTGGGCCCAGTGTCAGGAGTGGATGGACTCTGAGGAGAAGTCTGAGGCCTGGAGAGTGGAGGGTGAAGCCCCAGGGTAGAAGGAGCCAGGAGTCCTCTAATGAATCTGGTAGGATGCAGGTGGTGGCCCCGGTCTTTTGTTTTCCCAAAGTTTGGGGCCAGATTGGATCTGTTTTAGGAATCTGTGCTTCTGATATTTACTGGCCCAGGGGGCTGGAGTTTTTTCTTTTTCACTTCTCTTTTCCTCAGTTTTCACAGGGACTGACTTAGGGAAGAGATGTTATCCTGGGCCCTACAGTACAGGGTCCTGTCTCTTCCTTGGCAAGTAAACAATGTACTTTTGTTACATAGACATGCTGGGCTTGCTCAGGCTTGTGAGGAAGTATTCCTAAAAGACTGTCACCAAGAGTGATCTCACCAGCTGTGTAAGGTTGCTAAGGCCATCATGACAGAGTATCACTGGCCAGGTGGCTTAAGCATCAGTGTTTTTCCCCAATTCTGGAGGCTAGAAGTCTGAGGTGTTGGCAGGTTGCTTTCTTTTATATATAAATATATAAATATATATATCTATATATCTATATATAATACATATATTATGTATAGTATATGTTATGTATATTATAATATATATATATATATATATATATATATATATTTTATGCACTTAGTACGGGGTCTCACTACACAGATTGGACTTGTAGTGATCCTCCAGTTTTCAGCCTCCCAAGTGCTAGGATTAGAGGTGTGTGCCACCACTGCCAGTCTCAATCACTGTCTCGGTGTGCCCCTGGAGCAGGGCCAGCATGGCACTTCATGTGGGGGATGGAACTCCAGTCCTGCATCTGCCTAACTGGGTGCTTTAATCTGCTGAGCTATCTGGCCGGCCTTGGCGTTTTGCTTTCTTCTGAGCCAGTTCTACTTGGCTTCTAGATAGCCACCTTCTCACTGTGTTCTTGTATGGGCTTTCCTGTAATTGTCTGTCTTTGAATTTCCTTTTCTTCTAAGGACAGTAGTCATGTTGGGTTAGGGCTGCCCCTGATTACCTTACTCTAACTTAATTTCTTCTTCTTTTTTTGGTGCCAGTAATCAAATTCAGGACCTTGGCACTTGCCCAGCAGGTGCAGTCACCATTGAGCTATATCCTCAGAACCAGCCTCATTGTTAAGATTGTGATACATGAAGTATCACAGTGGGAGACCACTTTGGTCTGTAACACCATCTTTGCTGCTTTGCAGGAAGAACTGTAGGAACAGTCACAGCTTGATGACCGATCACAACGTGAGTGTGCTGAGAACTCACGGTGTTGACCACCTCAATTATAATGAGCTGTGCCAGCTCTTGTTTCAGAACGACCCTCTTCTTCTGCCGGAAGTGAGTGTCGGGGAAGGGGGCCATTTCTGTGCAGGTAATCAGGAAGCGGCCACAAGGTGGAGGATGGGGAAATATTATGGCTCAGGAGAAACCAAGGACTCCAGCTTGACTAAGAACCATGGAGAGAGACTTGGATTGAATTCCGACTGCTGATTCTAGGCCTGTGACTCGGGCCAACCTTGCACCTCTTTTCCATCCCCATCAGTTGGGGTGGTACATCCCTTGCAGGGCTTCTGTGAGAGAGGGGGAGCCTTTTGGGTCAGCACCTGCAGCTCAGGTGTTACAGAGCTGAGGGGTTGGGGCATGCATGCGCCCGCCCCACCGTGCGTGGCAGTGACTGGAAGCACACTGTTGGGTGCTGCAGATCTCAGTTGGTCTGTGCAGAAGCTGTCATCTTGAGGCTTGGATGGCCTCCTGTCTGGGCCCATGTGGATGATGAGGACAGGCCTTGGCCATAGGCCCTTATAGGACCGTGTTGGTGCGAGGTGTGTCATGGGAGTCCTTGCTGGGCTAATGTCTTTTAACTTTGCTGTCAACAGGTCTGCCTACATTACAACAAAGGGGATGGGCCCTTTGGTGGTTGTTCCTATCAAAAGCGGTGCATCAAACTCCATATCTGCCAGTACTACTTACAGGGAGAGTGCAAGTTTGGTACCAGCTGTAAGAGATGCCATGATTTCTCTAACTCTGAGAATCTGGAGAAGTTGAAGAAGTTGGGCATGAGCTCAGAACTGGTCCACAGGCTGCCTTCCATCTATAGAAATGCGCATGACATCAAGAATAAGAGCTCTGCCCCCACCAAGGCACCCCCTCCTTCTGCAGGCCCTCAGAAGACTTCTGGTAATGGTGGTAGGAATATTGCTGCAGGCTGGGTGGTGGGGGTGGTGTGGATTAATCCACACAGCCAGTAAATAGCGCATGAGATTTGGAGTGAGTCTGGGCTTCCTTTAGTGAAATAAGAGTTGAAGATCCTTTCCGAGGTAGGGGAATTGTGACGGTAAGATGAACTCATAGACGTGACTCGAAGATGTTCTAGGAAGCATGAGTTGGTGTTGATGGGGACTGAATTCTAGAGCTCCCTCATTTGCCCTGACGTGGGGGCCACGCTTCCTTTCCTGGGCAGGTGGCCCCCATTTCACTTTCCTGAGACTTGCCCGTCAGGAAGGAGCTTGAGAGTCAGCTTTACGGTGTCCTTTGCACTGTGGTCTGTTTTGATTTTACAAAACAAGAGGCATATTTGGGCTTGACCATCTTCCTGAGGTGAACAAATGGCACTCTTGTCCTTGTTGTAACTGTCCTCGGTCTGTGCTCCTCTGTAGTTCCTAGGCAGTGCTAGCCTGTAGTAACCACTTAGCATTTGTTGACTGAGTATGTTAGCATCTGAGTCGCACCTGTGCCTCCTGAGTACCGAGTTAGGTGCACTTGTGTAGCGGCAGAGCGAGCACCATTTTAATGGTTCACTTTCTCAATTGTCAAGTGATGGCCAGGATTACAAGCAGACATGCTTGTCACTCTAATCTTGAGTTTTATATCTAAAAGTTGTCCTTGCTCTGCATGGTAGTACATGCCTGTAATCCCAGGACTTGTGAGGCTGAGGCAGGAGGATTGCCATGAGTTCAAGGCTAGCCTGGACTGCATAATGACCCTGTCTCCAAGAAGTGCTTGCTCTGTTTCTTCCTTTACATTCTTCCTCAGTTTTTTTCCTGTGTTGATCTTTCCCAACTCCCAGAAGCTCAGAAGTAGACAGATTGTGCTTTAGATGGTCAAGAGTTGCAGTCGGATCAGGAGCTCCTTACAAAGGAAGAGGAGAGCCTACTCCTGAGCTGGGTTGGGTCCCACAAGCAGCCTTGCCTTGGGGAGAAGGAGGTGATGTTCATGGTGCCCCAGGTTGAGTTTGGGTTTTAATGACCAAACCTGGAAAATGAAATACAGATAATACAGTGACTTTTGATGCTATAAATAGGGAGAAGTTGTGATTGTATCTTGTATGCTTTTTTAGGGGTCTATGGATGGGGTAAATGAAATAGGTAAAGATTCATTGGAGTGCTACAGGAAAGGTAAATTTAGAAGGCACTTACTTGCACTTTTAATATTAAGAACCTTATAGGTAACTTGAAATTAATGAAGGAGGTTTCATTGGAGATGTAGACTTTTCATGTATTAACCACCTTCTTGGCTAGTGTTACCCAGTTCCAAGAGTTTGCTAACAGATACTGTATTCCATGCTCAGATAGTATACTTGGATCTGATTTATAAAGCGTCGCCTTGCACTTGCCCTCTGCTGTTGACTGGGATAGACAGCCAAAATTGAGGAAGGACCCCTCCACGGCATCTTGGTTTCGTAACAGTCATGTGACTGTGGGTCTCTGGCTGTTCCCTAGAAGTGCCCGCTTGCATACTTAGAGTGGTGTCATCCCTAGTAGGAGTAGTTCCATGAATTCTCCTTGTACTTTGAGCCACAGGCACCCTATATCAGATAAGCTTCTGTTTTTGTGGTATTTCTTTGTAGAAAAAAAAGACAGTTTGAGTTCTACATCCTCAGACACTCCGAGCCAAGAGGAGAGTGATCAGATTTGCTTGTACCATATCCGGAAAAGCTGCAGCTTTCACGGTAAGTGGGGTCTGGCTTGCCTCCCCCTCCTGTGAGAGGGGCTGCTTCCCATTCCTAGAATCCTGCTGTGAGACACGCCTGGCACTTTGACTGAAGCAGTGCTGAGGCTGTTTTCTTGGGGAGCTGAGGGTGGTAGAATTCTCTGAAACTTTTTAGAAGAGTCCTCAAATTTGATGCTGCTCTTAAAAAACTACCACCAAAGCCGGATGTGGTGGTATATCCTTGTAATCCCAGCTCTAGGAAGGCTGAGGCAGGAGGAGTATTGTGAGTTCAGTACTAGCCTGGGCTACAAAGTGAGCTCAAGGCCAGCCTGAGCTGCACAGCAAGACCCTGGCTCAAAAAGACAAGACAAAAATAAAAACAAACCCTTACTGGGGCCGGGGAGATGGCTCAGTGGAACAAGAGCTTCCCTGCAAGCGCAAGGGCCTGAGTTCAATCCACCACCAAAAAAAAACAAAACAAAAGAAAAAAAACCCTTACCAAAACTTGTTTCACTTTCAGTCTTTAAAAGTTATCCAAGTGATTCATGATTGTTTTCATTTTATGGAAGACTCAGGTAATACAGTGTAAAGCAGGACCTCCTCCTCTGCCCTTCCCCAAAGTTAAATATTGCTGTGTGGTTGTAATATTCTATTGGTTTCTTTTTTTTTTTTTTGGTGCCAGAAATCGAGTTCATGACCTCTCACTTGCCAGGCAGTTGCTGTGCCACTGAACTATATTTTTGGCCTTGTTTATTGATTTTTAAACAGAAACATGGTAACATATTACTCAGTTTGTACCTTTTACTTAAGAGTATGTTGTGGAGCTATTTTCCATGTGTAAATTTACTTCATTTTAAAAACAGCCATCTAGTATTCACTCCCAGCCATGGTCCTTTCCATAGACGCCTGGAAGTGAAATGCTAGGTCCAAGAACGTGTGCCATAGCAACATATATATTTCTATTTTAAAATCAAGATTGTTTAGATATAATTTATACAATAAAATGCACCCATTCAATATGTATTGTTACGAGTTTTGGTAAGTTTATATGCCGCGGTACAGTGATCAAGATAAGGAATAGTCCCTTGTCCCGATGCACCTTCAGTCATTCAAAGTCACCCTGTCAATTCACCAGGTCCAAAGATTCTTTTTTTTGAGGAACCATGGATTGAACACAGGCCCTTGCACTTGCCAGGCAAGTGCTTATTCAACTGAGCTAACTCCCTGGCCCCAAAAGATTTTTGTTCTACTTTTTGTCATGATAGGTTGTCTTTTCTAGAATTGTGTGTGAATGCAGTCATACAAGGAGGTGTTATCATGATTCTGAGCTAAAGTATCTCTCCCTTAGCCTTGTGTTTGGAGGTGGGGGCTTCTGGGGGGGGTTGGTTCATAGGGTGCTGTACTCATCAGTGGACTGATTCATGGGTGAGTTTGTAGCTTTGCACTGAGCTACATCCTGAGCTCTGTCTTATATTTTGAGTCAGGGCTTCACTTAGTTGCCCAAGTTAGGCTTGAATTGTCAGTTGCCCTGCTTTAGCCTCCTAGAGTGCTAGGATTATAGGTGTGCGCCAGCGTGTTTGATTCTAGGTATTTCATTTAAAATGCAGTCAGACAGTAATTAGTCATTTGTGACTTTTTTAGTTATTTGACCTTGTTGTTGAGTATGAGGAGTTTTATGTTTATTTATATTGAAAATCCATTCTTGGGGGTGGGGGAGATGGCTCAGAAGAATAAGCGCTTGCCTGGCAAGGGCCTGAGTTCAAATCCCTGGTTCCGAAAAAAAAAAAAAAAAATCCATTCTTTTAGTCTTTGATTTTTTTTTTTTTTTTTTATGTTTTTGAGACAGGGTCTTGATAAGCAGTTTGGGCTGGCCTTGTGCAGACTTTGTAGCCCAGGCTGGTCTCAGATTCACAGTGATCCTCCTACCTCAGCTTACCAAGTGCTGGGATTACAGACATGTGCCACCACTCCTGGCTTGTGTTTATTTTTATGATGTCTTCTCAATACATTTTAATGTTGATATGTGTTTAATATTTGTCTATGTTGTGTCTATTTTAATATCTTTTTATTTTCTTACTTTTTTTGTTGCCTAAAAGTATCGGCCTATTTCAAGACAAATACTCCCCTTGGTGGTTTCCGAGAGCCAGCTGGGTACAGCGTTGTGTTAGGTGCGCCCTAGTGCTCTCCTGGTGACTCAGACCCCTTTGCTTGGTGTTGCTGGCTGCCCTTCCGGTATTGTCCCTGTTGTGTTGGGTGATTCTCTATGGTCTGTAGAGTTGCACTTGGGAATGCTGTGTGTCTGTCAGCTTCCAGGAAGCTGATGTTGGTGCCAGGCCTCTGTCCCAGTGGATCAAGTAGGTGTGGCCTGCTGGGTAGGGCTGCTGCTGGTGTGTAGCCAGGGGCTGGGGCAGGGCTGGTGGCTGTCATCTGCTTTGCTTTCTGGGTAGCCTTTCTCACCACACTTGCATATTCATTTGGTTCTCTCTCTCCCTCTCTTTTTTTTTTTTTTTTGGCAGAACTGGGGATTGCACTCAGGCCATTGTGCTTGCCAGGCAAGCACTTATTCTACTGAGCTATCTCCCCAGCCCCTTGCATATTCATTTGGAAAACAAATAGTGAGCCTCCTGAATGTGGTACTTCCTGCATATTTTGCATGTGTTTTTGTCTCTTACATCAGTTTGATTTTGTCCATCTCATAGTTTAAGAATTCTGAAGTAATTCTGATTTTTTTTTTTTTTTTTTTTTTTGCGGTACCAGGGATTGAACTCAGGACCCTGCTCTTGCCAGGCAAGCGCTTATTCTACTGAGCTATTTCCCTGGCCAATTCTGATCTTTAGATGGCACTTTTTAGTGTTTTCCAGTGCTCTTGGGTTTGTTCTTCTTTCCAGTTGGTCATTTGAAGCAGGGTAGTGAAGAAGGGTGGGTGGGTGGCCGTGGTGCACTGCCTGTCAAACGTGTTTGATTTCTGTGGCTCATCTTCGACAAGGCCTATGCTCCAGAGTGCCCTGGTTAGGTGGGAAACAAAGCAGGGGAAGGAAAGAGTGAAAGGGCCGAAAGGGTCAGGGAAGAGGACAGAGGAGGACCTCGCACACCCCAGTGCCTTCCAGTGGTGAATGGCACAGCCTCCACACTCAGCTCTGGGCCCTCTTTTCTCAGTGCTTTCCTGGGGCCTTGGACTCTTTCCAAATAAGCACTGGTCTGCTGGGCCGTGTGGAATACCCCTTCCCAGGGGTGCTTTTTGGCAGGGAGAGCTTTGCTTCGGGCTCCCCAGAGCTTGCCTGTGCCGGGGTTTGTAGCTGTAGCATCAGTCTGGGGTGCGCCATAGAGGCCTCCCTGCTCTCCCCCTAGATCCTTTCTTTTAGTGGACTTGAGGGAGGGAGCACAAGCTTTTACCTGGTCATGACCTCTGGACTGCTACTTTATCTGCGCTGGCCTTCATTAGCCTCTCTACACACTCACACATTCCTTGTCCAAAGTGCAAGAGAGCACTTTGGCTGGGGCGCACTGTCTGTGCAGATTGGAGGCTCCAGCGTAGCCACGCCTGCCTTGCTGGGCTTCATGATCTCCTCGCTTGGTTCTCTTCTCTTGGTCCCCCTCTCTTGGTCTCTTAGCCCGCTTGACCTAGTGCTTGTTGCTACCCAGGCCTGGGCTGACAAACCTTAGCAACACTCTCACTTTCTTCCTACTTCCCTATTGTAGTTCCCTTTTGCAGTCTGGGAAAGAGCTAGCATTGAGGTGTGCGTGAAGAATGCAGAATCCCTGAACCACACACAACAAAAGCAAATAGGCTGGGTGTGGTGTCACACCCCTTTAATCCCAGCAGGAGGGAGGCTGAGGCAGAAGGAATGCAGATTTGATCCTGCATGGGCAATTTAGTGAGGAAGGTACCGTCTTAAAATAAAAGACTTAATAAGGGCTGAGGGTTTGTTGTATCTGGCTCCTGGTTAGGAAACCGAAGATGTCACCTCTGGGCCACCAGCACTGCTGCTCTGGGATTGTAACTCAGCCCCAGTAAAAAATTAGAGGGACAAAGTTTAACTAAAGGAAAACACTTTATTTGTAAAGAGGAAAAGGAAGGGGAGGAAAGGAGGACCCGTGGGTATTTGTTCCCAGTGTTTTTAAAGGGCGATCAAAAGCCTTCCCCAGCCCAGAAGGTGCCCTGACTGCACTGGCTGCCCCACAGCTCTGCCTGCTTTTCTTCCAGCAGCCTGCACACAGCTTCTTTGTGTCAGCCTGTCCCAGACCTGCCTCTCAAGGCCTTCCCTGTGGGTTGGGGTCTAGTTGCTAGGGGATGTGCGTGCCTTATTCTTGGTTAGCTTAGAGTTGGTAAGGGCCTGTGTGGGTAGCTGTTGTGCTCTGCCATGCCTTCAGCTCGAGTAATGTAGTGACTCCAGCGTGAACACACACGTATGTAAGTGTACGTGTTGGTGCACAGGTGAGTACATCCTGCCTTAATGAAGTCAGCGCCCTGTCCCCCGTATTTTATTGGAGTTGGGGGCAGCTCTTTCCTTGTGCGCTCAGCTTCTGTCTTGTGTCCTGCCAGGCAGCTCTTTCTCTGGTCTCTTGGTGCAAGTCTCAAGGCCATTTGGTGCCTTTCTTTATCAGTTTTATTTTTGTTGTTCTTTTGTTCTACCCCCATCTTTGACCTGCTTCCTAGAAGAAGCCTAGGTACACCAGTACACTTGTGCCTTTTCCACTTAGCAAACTAGATGTAGGTGTTCAACTTTTTTTGGACTGTGTAATATGTTCTTTCTTTTTTTTTGTTTTTTGAGACAGGGTTTTGCAGTGTAGCCCAGGCTGGCTTCAAACTCAAGTGATCCCTTGATCTCAGCCTCCTGAATGCTAGGATTATAGGCAAGCATCACCACAGCTGACAGGAATATGTAATATACTATTGTGGGTGTTTTTTTTTTTTTTTTTTCTTGTCTTTGACAGTTGCTATGCAGTTCAGCCTGGCCTTAAACTTGGTTTGTAGCCCAGGGGGCTGGGGATTTGGCTCAGTGGTAGAATGCTTGCCTAGCAAGCTAGAAGCCCTGGGTTCAGTCCTTGGCACCAAAAACAAAAAATAAACCTCCCCTAAAAAACAATTCAACCAAAAAAATACAGTAAAAATCAGAAAAGACCAAAAACAAACAAGGCAACTTTGTAGCCCACACTGGTCGCAAGCTGACCTTGGTTCTCCTGCCCCAGCCTCCTGAGTGCTGTGATCACAGTTGTGTGCCACCACATTGGACTTTTCATTGTGCCCAAACACCTACATCTAGTTAGGTGGAAAAGGTATGAGTGTGCTAGTGTACCTGTAGAGCTAATGTGAAGGGACATGTGGCACAGTACACGCAGATACACATGCTGGCCTCGAACTTGCAGCAGTCCTCCTGCCTCAGCCTCCCGAGTACTGGGATTATAGAAGTGTGCCACCTCACCTGGCTTGTATTACATTCTGTGGTTCAGAATTACAAATATACAAGTCCTTCCTCCTCGTTGTCACCCACTCGTCAGCTCTCCTGCATAGGAAGGAGTGCCTGCACACACGGTGTGTTCAGTCAGAGTAACTCTAATCCTTTTTCTGTTTCTCCCAGGAGTTCTGTGTTCCTTCCTGGGCAGGTGCCCTTCCCCTTGTTGTGTGTCAGTGGTGATCCTTGGGAGCTCTGCGGTCCTGTTTGTCCTTTCCATCCTTTCAGCCGTCCTGGTCCCCTGTAGGGGGATAGCAGAACTTATGGAGGCAACAGCAAGGCAGGGCTGGGTGTGTGGGGCTGTATTCCAGTGACAGGGCAGAGGCAGGCTCCCACATACCCAGTGCCTAGGGACTGTGCAGAAAGGATGCAGTTGTGGGAGGGACCCAGGCAGGGGACGGGAGGCTGCAGACATGGGCGGGATGGTGGTGGGCATAAGGGTCTGTGCGGACAGGGGAAGGGGCGAGGCTGCTGGCCACCAGAGATCTGAGCAGATCTCTGGTGGAGACAAATCAGGCACCTGCCCATCCCCATGACATCAACTACCGTCTGCCAGGGTGCGGACCTTTGGCCTGTGACCAGCTTCTTTACAATCAAATGACATTCCTAGGTGATACAGCTTATATAATCCATACTTCTAAAAATCAACATAAGATCCTGTTAATAAGGAAGATAAGAAGCAAGATGTGTGTAAGAAGAAACCCAGTATGTCAGGCTCTAAATGCACACTAATAAGACAGACTTCCTCAGAACTTCCAGATTACTCTGAGGCCAGTGGCTGCACTGTGCTCCCTGATCAACCACAGGCCTGCTGCTGTGTCTGCCAGCTGTCTTACTACTTTCCTTTCTGTTTTAGACAAGTGCCACAGAGTTCATTTCCATTTGCCTTATCGGTGGCAGTTTCTGGATGGTGACAAATGGAAGGATTTGGACAAAATGGAGCTTATCGAAGCAGCCTACTGCAATCCCGAAGGAGACAAGTAGGCATTGTCCCTTGTTCCAGGGTTAGGCTTTGGTGTGTGGTGTGGGGAGTTCAAACAGCAGACATTATTTTTGGTGGTCTTAACACCCCATATGTGTGCATACATGCATGTTCACATATGCAGACACGAATATGCAGCCTAGGCTGGCGGTACACACTGGACCAGAAGTGAGAGGGTCATGTCGGCAGTTTGTGGCTCTGTTCACCTACTGTCAAAGAGAGCTGGGAGATGGTACTAAGACCAAGTGAGTTCTTAATTATTTGCTATTTAATTGACTGGTCATGTTTTATTCATTTATTACTACAGAAAAGCCAGAGGTGGTAAGTTTTGAAATTTTAGCCTTTTCTTTAAAATTATGCAGCTAACGAGGGCTGGCCAAATAGCTCAGCAGATTAAAGTGCCTGCAAGCAGGCGCAGGGGTCAGGGGTTCAATCCCGGGGCCTGCCATGCCAGCCCTGCGCCCGGGACACGCTGAGACAGCAATTGAGACTGGGCATGGTAATCCCAGCTCTTGGGAGACTGTAAACAGGAGGATCACTATGAGTCCAATCTAGTAGTGAGACCCTGAACACCCTGTAGACCCTTCCCTAAAATACAAAAAAAAATAATAATAAATTATGCAGCTCACCTGTTCATTGTTTAATCTTTAGTTTTTATTAATGTGAATATATCTCTGTATTTCTGCTTGGTTAGTATAGAATAAATAGGGAAGTAGCCTCATTTTCAGATACTTATAATGTGGGTTAAACTTGCTGAAGTGTGTTTCCATTTGAATATGTAAAGTAACTTTCAGCTTGGAGTGAGTTATTTGCAAGTTGCTGTTGGTTAAGTATGTGAAACAAGTTATTCCCCTTAGAAGGATTAAATGGCTCACATACCACCCATAGTCTTTGTTTCTAGACGAAATTTATACACACCAGTGTGCACACATTAAGTGTAAAGCTCAGTGAGTTTTGACTCGTGTGCAGTCAAGTAGCGAACACTTGAAAGAGATATAAGGTGTTTTGTCACCTTGGAGGTGTCCCCTCCAGGGACTCCGCCTCCAGGCTACACAATTCTGACATTTGTTGAGCAGATTAATCTTGCTGGTCTTTCAGTTCTTAGGAACAAAAGCACCTGGTCTGTGTGTGTGTGTGCGCGCGTGCACATGCGCGCTTACACACCTGCCTGTGCTGTTGGCCTCACCCTGTTGTGCTGGCCTTTTGTGTACACGCAGGAGTTTCTAGGGGTAATGGGGTGATGTCCACAGGCAGCTACTGGCAGGTGAGCTGTGCCCATCCTTGGCTCTAACAGGTGATGCCAGGCTGCTCTGCAGGGTGACTAGTGCCTTTCCACGCTCACGGCCGTCTCTGTTACCATGTGCCCCTCACATGGGCAGCGTCTGATGCTGACGGGCCTGGTTGGGACTGTGTGCTCCTTTCCTTGGCCCGATGCCTGTTAGGATACTCTCCACATGTCCATTGGCTGTTTCATAGCTGTGAGGTGTCCACCCTTGTTGTTGCGCTGTTTGAGGAGGAGGAACAGCTATGTTTTTGTCTGTTTATTTTAAGGAATTCTCTACACTTCTGGATATTAAATGTGGAGTAAAAGTAAGTTGTGATGGGCACCAGGGTGGCAGGTACACCACGGTGGGTGGTCTGTGTATTCGAACCATGTTGTCTTGCTGGGTAGAACGTTGTGGGAAGTTCTAGTGTCTCCAAGGCAGAGCCCATCTTTTATTCCCATTCAAATTGTCTTGGTTTTTCTGGCATTTGGCTCCTTAGAAATACTTTCTGTGTATTTATTTGGGTATGAGAATGCTAATGTGTAGCCTTTCATGGTCTGATTGTCTCTGTCAACTACATTATCTCTAGTTGTCTGATTTTCACATACGTTAGCTTTCAGGTTATGTTGCATGAAACCTTGTGGAAATTCTCTTGAGGTCTGAAGGTGAATTCCTCAGATTTGTGTTTGGGACCTGCTGCCTTTAAAAGCGAGTTCTCACATAAAAGTGAGATTCTGCCTAAATAAAGCTTATGGACACTTGGCTTGCTCGTGTGCCTGGGGAGTTTTTACAGAAGTGAGTGTCTCTCTCCCTCTGTCTGTATCTCTGTCTTCCTACCCCTCTCTCTTTGTTGCTTTTTGAGACAGGGTCTCACTGTATAGCTAGCTATGCTGGCCTCAGACTCTTGGTAATCCTCCTACATCAGCCTCCCGAGTGCTGGGATTACAGGCAGGCGCTACTGTGCCTCTTACCTTCCTTTATTTCCTGCTTTCTGACTGCTAAAATGGGGCTCTCCGTGGCTACTTGCTGACACCACCTGTGGGTGGCTGCTGGCCTCCGCACACAGTCATCTGCCTGGCCTCTGGCTCCCTCTGGGCTTCGGGCAGTGCGTGGTTGACGGGGGAGCCCATCCTGGCACACTGCAGGCTGCTCCCCTAGCGCTGTCCATTGACCGTGGGACCGTGGGCGTGTTTGTTGGCTTTCTGGTCTCGGGTTCCCCACCTGTGACGTGGGCTCAGCCTCGCCTCTAGGGTTGTGAAGATACACAATGAGAGGGTCAGGCTCACATGTGGACGCTCAGTATGTGCTGACTCCGTAGTTCTTTCGCTTTCTAAGGATTCCCTTGTTGCCAGGTTGGCAGGACATTTTATTATTTTTTTCCTTCATGGTGTGTGAATTGAACCTAGGGTCCTGCACATGCTAGGCAATTGTTCTAGGGTGGAGTCACACTCCCGGTCTCAGTGCATTTTGAAAAAGCATACCTTGGGGCCAGGCAGAGAGCTCAGTGGTAGAGTGCTTGCCTGGCAAAGCATGAGATCCTGAGTTCAATTCCTGGTACAAAAGAAAAAATATCTTAACCAGCATGTTTTGTTTTGTAATATGAACTGTTTTCATGAATGATCAACATCTTTATTAATCTGATTTTATTTTTGTGCAGTAGAACTGTTCTTAAAAAGCAGTTTTCCCTACCTCTGGAAACATTTCTAAAAAACGGATGTGACCCATTTAATACTTGCATTCCTAATGGTGTGTTCCCTGGGATAGAGGCTGAGGGAGGCTTACACTGGTTGGGTGGGTGCGGTGTTTAGTCTGCCTGTGTTTTCTCTTTCAGGATTGTGTGTGCTGCTTGTGGCCACACCTGTACCCTGCACTTCAACTCCATGAAGTTTGGCACTGCCCAGGCTCGCCGCCTCTCCACGGCCTCCTCGGTCACCAAACCCCCTTACTTCATCCTCACCACTGACTGGCTTTGGTATTGGATTGATGAGTTTGGCTCTTGGCAGGAATATGGGAAACAAGTAAGTGTGAAGGAAGGGTGTGACAAGAACACGAGGATTAGGAGGGGTGTTCTTGATGGAGCAAGGATCCCCAGGCCCCACATCTCCAGTGGCCTGGGGGCGTCTTGGCAGAAGGAGGTGATTGGGAGTTGGTGTATGTGAGCATCCTTCCTTGAACACTTGCGCTTCCCGTGACTCCTAAGAACTGAATGACAAAAAGTGGCATGAAATTAGCTTTGTTCATTTTTTTTGTTTTGTTTTTGTGCTGGGTCTTACTACAGCTCCGACTTGTGCTGCCTCCCCAGTGCTGGGATTATAGGCAGGCATGCGCCACCACACCCGGACTCCATCACTGGCTCAACATGCCCAAGGGTGGGGCTAACAGAACATGAGGTGCCAGGGATTGAACCCCGGCCCCTGCGCTTGCCCAAGCAAGCACTTCATCCACTGAGCTATCTTGCCAGCCCTTGTTCATTTGTTTTGTTGAATGGGATAGAAAGACACATTTACGTTTCTTCCTTGTTAATGGAGAGCTCCAGAGCTAATGCTTAGGTGTGCTTAGGTAGCTGTGGTGTGAAGTTTTCAGCTTGCTTTTCTCCGCTGTTTGTGCAACTTTCTCAAAGGTGGGTAAAAATAGAAAATTGAATCCTGTCAGGAATTGATGTGTAGTCCTGGTCAGATGGCTGCTGCCAGCAGTGAGGAAGTGTTCTGGTTAGATGTGATTAAAGAAAGCCCCTGGTCACTTGCAGAGGGACAAGATTAGGGGCCCTTCACTTGGCCGTATGGCCTGGTCCTTCTTATACCCTCTGCATTATGGGAAACTGTATTAAAGCACCTGTTTCTTGGTTTTTTTTTTTTTTTTTTTTTTTTTTTTTTTTTTTTTGTATTTTAGGGAAGGGTCTACAGGGTACTCAGGGTCTCACTACTAGATCAGACTTACTACTTAGATCTGCCTGTTTACAGCCTCCCAAGAGCTGGGATTACAGGCGTGCATCACTACACCCAGTGTCAATTGCCATCTCAGCGTGCCCCAGGGGCGGGGCTAGCACCGCGCGCCTGGGGATCGAACCCTGGCTTCTGTGCCTGCTTGCAAGTGCTTTAATCCTCTAAGCTGTTTAGCCAGCCCTTTTTGTTATTTACTTTTTTAAACTATAAAATATTCTTTATTTTTTCATGTTTTTCATTTTTTTCTGAATTCATTTGCATTTCTGACAAACTGTAGTCTCTTTTTAGGGATCTGATTATTCTAAACATTTTTGCTGTTTTGTTTTGTTTTAAATAGGCCTGCTTCAGATTCACTTGCTCATGATTCTTTCACTTCCTGGTAAGATTCTTTTCCTTTTCTGCTTGACCTGGCCTTTTGTTCTGTTCATATTTGCCAGCTCTTACCTTCTCCTAGAGTGGAAGAGATCTCTTTCTCCTTTTAAGAGTGTTGAATGACTAATTGGAAATGTATTCCACTGCTGTAATAGAAGTGTTCCTGGTCTTGTTGATGTGCCAAGTTTTGAAGTTGCCAGATGGAAGGAGTTAAAAATCTCTACACTTGTTCTTGACCCTGGAAATAAGATAGCTTTACATGCTTCTCATAGAAAACCATGGTGTGATAATGCTACTGCTGATGGCTGCCAGCACACTCACTCGCAGTTAGAGCTCAGAGGAACAAGGAACAAGTTGCTTTTGCTTTTAGAATAAGTATTCCCTCAAATAATGTACAGATATACATACAAAAACTTTTATTTTCTTTTTCTTTTTTTAGAAAATTTTATTTTATTATTTTATTTTTTCCCATAATTTTATTGAGAGACAAATAGCAATGAGACAGTTTCAAATCAAATGGTAGGACAGTTTCAATAATTAACACATTGCATATTCTCTTCCTAGTGGTTATTTGCTGTACAAGATGCAGACATGATATCCTGTTTACAGACACTATTACAACAAATCCCTCTGTTCATTAAGAGAATGTAACTATATATCTATCCTAGCCTTTTTGAATACACAGATACAAAATGGACATTCATCTGTATCCCCTTTTTTGTTTAGTTCCGTCATTTGAATATTATAGGTGTGTTAACTCAGCAAAATATTCTAAAAGAGTCCACTAATCTCTAATAGTATTGTGTCTTCCCGCTTGACTGGCAGTGTCAGACATTGTTGACCTGAGTCCCCTACAGCTCAACACAACAGCATGGCTTTACTTCTTATACTTGGTTGTTATACTTTTCTGCTGGATGGTTAAGACCAAGATAAAGCAAGACCTATGCAACAAGAGTTGTAGCTTTTGGATCTGATAAGGTCAGTCAAATCCCCTCAG